CCATCAGTGGCGCATGGCGGAGCAGTTGCTGGAGTTAGTGACAGCGCCCTTCGTGAGTTGCGACATTGTGCTGCTGTCCTAAATGGTGCTCCAGGTAAGGCGTTGGTTGGGGTAACAGCGTACCTTATATCTCATCGGGATGAATGCTACGACCCCATATATAACGCCACTACGGACATTGTGCTCAAATATGCTTCCTGGATCTGGGATGGGCGTGTGCAACCTAGCAGACTTCGGGAGGCTTGGGTCAGTCTGGGTACTAAGTTTGGGAGTTCACCTTCCTGGTCTAAAGCGCGAGGGCCCCTGGGGGCCACTTGGCTTACCTTGAGGCGTATCTCCTGGACTATGCCGTCTGAGCACATCCTGGTCGACGATTTGGGAAATAGTTTTGATTTATATCGTATATGTCCAGCAGACCTGCGTGTGTTCCTGCATCAGGGCATCCAGCGCTGGCAGCGCCATAGGTTGCAGCAGCATTTTTATACCGAGCAGGCGGATGTGTGGCATCGTGCGCTACGCCACTCGCTCGCCAAGATAAAGTGTCATCGGCGCCTCGGCGCGCTGCAGGCTCTGTGGGCAGACAATCTTCCCATCCCACCGCGTCGGGACATGAAGCTCGGGAGGCCCATTAGACCTTGTCAGGCCTGTGGCAAGGCTATCGACTCCTGTTGGGGTCATATCTTTTACGACTGCCCGCCGCTCCTCGAAGGGAACCCCGACAAGGAATATTATGAGTTTCCAGAACAGCTTCAGGAGGTTCGAGACATGCTTCAGGCGTCTGGGCAGCAGCTGGGGTGCACCGACTGGGACCAGAGGTACCTGATCTATGGGGTTCCTGAGCCTGTGGCTGTGCCGCACTACACTACGGTCTCCAATGAAGTTTTTGAGTGGGGAGGTGTCTCAGGCTCCTGGGGGCCTACATCGTATACTGATGGGTCTGGGTTCTCGGCCAGTATTCCTGAAGTACGTAGGTGTGGTTGGTCGGTCTGCCAGTTGGACCCCGTCACGTGGCTCCCCGCCAGAGCTGTATATGGGCCCTTGCCCTATTATGTGCAGACGGTAGGCCGTGCTGAGCGCTATGCCATCAAGATGGGACTTCAGGAGCATCCTGGGCATGAGGTTTTCATTTCTGATCTGAAATCGCTCGTTGATGAGGGCACGTCCTGGGATCAGAAGCTCGAATTTGGCAAAGCGAAGCACGCCCGCGTCTAGAGAGACATTTTTTCTGCTGCCAGAGCACGTGATCCACGTCTGCCACCAGTGCGGTTTCAGTGGACTCCAGCGCACAGGAAGCTGGATGATATCATCGAGTGGGCCACGCCAGACGAGCTGGAGGCCTTCGTCGGCAATGCCTGGGCCGACTTCTTCGCGAAGTGTGGCAGTGCCGCACACATGGTGTCCAAAACGGTGGCCGAGAGTTTGGCCGCTGCTTTGAAGCAGCACAAGCAGGTCCTGCATTATGTGTCTTGGGCTGTCTTCCAGGTGGTTCAGTTTCGTAAGTGGGGAACGGATCCTATCGCGGAGCGGGACCCTGAGCTCGCCCAGGTGCCCAAGCGTGTGGTCTTCGAGAGGCCCCAGGACCATGAGTTGCTGTTTTGCCAGAGGTTGTCAGAGTATAGGTGTCGTCGGTGCAATCGAGTCGCTCGAAGTGCGTGTACCCTCCATACTCTTCGCTCAGGGGCAGATCGATTTTGTGCTCCCACGCCGTTGGTCCAGAGCTTGGCCGACGACTTCTTGAGGCGGAGTTCTGAGGCGTGGGTTAGTTGTTCGGACTCTCGAGTCACGGCTGCCCTTGAGGCTGCCGATCGGATTTTGGGGTCCACGCCTGAGCCTCGGGAGCCCTCCTCGGCGGTGCTGGCGATGGCTCTGCCGACGCTCCCCAATCAGTGCTTGCCGAATTCGCTGAATTGGGGCATGACGTTTTCTGTGTGAATTCCGTTTATTGCTGCCGTAAGTCCGGGGGCAATTTCAACGGGTCCGAGTCCTTCAGGTCAGCCCGCAAACTGCGGGCGTTGTGCCTGGGGTTTTCAGGGAATCCTAAGACTCGGGCCAACCAGCGCACGGCGATTGACAGAATCACCCGTGGCTTGGAGCCCCGCCAGAGAGGGGCAGGTGCGGCGCGTTCTGGCCCGACCCCTGCCCCCTAGCGTAGCTCTTTGGGCCCTGGGAGGTTTTAGGGTGTGGTTTTCCTGAGGCGCCCCACCCTCTCCCAGGCTTTCGCCTTTTCCGCCACCCCTGTGGCTCTCAGGTCTCACACGCGGTTGGTGTTCGTCACTCGGACGCCTCTCCTGCGGCTCGCTCGCTGCTCCTCCTCCTCATCCTCCTCCTCCTCCCCCTCCTCCTCCTCCTCCTCCTCCTCCTCCTCCTCCCCCTCCTCCTCCTCCACCTCCTCCTCCTCCTCCTCCACCTCCCTCTCCTCCACCTCCGATTCCTCCTCCTCCTCCCCTCCTCCTCCTCCTCCTCCCCTCCTCCTCCTCCTCTCTTTCCTCCTCTCCTCCATCCTCCTCCTCCCTCCACCTCCTCCTCCTCCTCCTTCCATTCTCCTCCTCCTCCCTCCTCCACCTCCTCCTCCTCCTCCACCTCTTCCTCCTCCTCCTCCTCCTCCTCCTCCTCCTCCTCCACCTCCTCCTCCTCCTCCTCTCCTCCTCCTCCTCCTCCTCCCCCCTCCTCCTCCTCCTCCTCCTCCTTCCTCTTCCTCCTCCTCCTCTTTCCTCTTCCTCTTCCTCCTCCTCCTCCTCCTCCTCCTCCTCCTCCTCCTCCTCCTCCTCCACAATTACTCAATATGAAAATACTCTCCCTCTTCCCCTGATGGCGTCTGGGTGATGGCCGCGCACCCTCCGCGTACTGTTTTTTTACACACAGGATGCCCGGGAAATCCCGGGAAACGACTCTCGCTGAGGCGCCGGCGTCATTTTTTCCCAAAATGCTGCTCTCGTTGAGGCGCCGGCCTCATTTCTGCTCCCGAATCGTTCCGAATCGTGCTCCCGCTGCAGCGTGGGCCTCATTTTCGGATCGGTGTTTGGCCTCCGTCGTTCAGGATGGCGTTCTCGCCCCAGCGCGGGCCTTTTTCTCGCGCGCCCATCCGCCCGCCACCACCGCGCCGCACCGCCAGCCACCACCACCACCACCACCACCACCACCACCACCACCACAACCACCACCAGCACCAGCACCAGTACCAACACCACCACCCACCACCACCACCACCCACCACCACCACCACCACCACCACCACCACCACCACCACCACCACCACCACCACCACCACCACCACCACCACCACCACCACCACCACCACCACCACCACCACCACCACCACCACCACCACCACCACCACCACCACCACCACCACCACCACCACCACCAGCACCACCACCACCACCACCACCCACCACCACCACCACACCACCACCACCACCACCACCACGCACGACAACCACGCACACACGCACGCACGCACGCACGTGCACCACCACCCACTACGCACGCGCGCGCGGAGCCACAGGTCCGCTACGACACGCGTCCGCGGATAGAGAAAATCAGCGCCATGGTAAGGGATGGGAGGGAGGGGTAGGACGTCAGATATGACGCGAGCGCACCTAGCTTGTCCCCTCCCCCTCCTCCTCCTCCTCCTCCTCGCCTCCTCCTCCTCCTCCTCCTCCTCCTCCTCTCCCTCCTCCTCCCCCTCCCTCTCCTCCTCCTCCTCCTCCTCCTCCTCCTCCTCCTCCCCCTCCTCCTCCTCCTCCCCCTCCTCCTCCTCCTCCTCCTCCTTGTCCTCCTCCTCCTCCTCCTCCTCCTGCGAGCTCGGTCGAGAATGTACAGCTCGTTGGCTCGGCCATGCTTCGCCTGTCCTCCCTGCCCTCCCCTCCCTGTCCGCCGACGCCCCGTCATCCCTCACCCCATGGTGCCCCCGCCTGCTCACGTGTTTGCCGCGCCACAAGGGCCCGACAACATTATCGGTGTCTGCGCTTGCAAGCGTTTTATTTTGCGGAGCTCGGCGCCCTGGCGCTGACGGCCGAACGACCCCTGTCGCGGGACACTCTGGCAACACGGTTGGCCGCAACAAAAATCCTCGGATTAACGCTGACCGCGAAAAGGCGGGGCCGACCGAACAGGGGTGAGGAGGGAGCCGACATCGATGCGACGAGGGCAGGATCAATCAGCATCGAAACGGTAACTCCGATCGAGCCGAAATGCGTATCGGATCGGACTGCATCGGATCGGATCAGCTGCGCCAAGATGCGCATCAACGCCGTTGGAGCATCGGGCCGCGCCCGATCGCCAGAACATCGGAACCGAATCGCATCGGGCTGGCCAGATTCGACATCGAATCGGATCGATCGGGTCGGAATGGACCCTGCGAGGTTCGGGTTCGTCCAAGAGGGGGGCGTCCAAGAGTGGGGCGTCCATATCATGGCCTGAGGCATTGCGCTGACCAAGGGGGGGGGGGGCTGGGAACGTAGTGGAAGAAGAAAACGGGCCATGAGATCAGCATCATGGCCCCATCCATGATATCCACGGCCCCTTAGTCATCACCTCCCTCTTGGACGCCCACGAGTGGGGGAGGATCGCGCCGCATCGCCGATGCATCGCCGATGCATCGGCGATGCACCGGCGCCGTCGGCAATGTATCGGCGACGTCGGCGTGGCGAAACACGGGCTCCACATCGAGCCGCATCGGCGATGCGGCGCGATCTTCTGACTCCACCTACTCGGACCCCGTCTAGGAGGCCTAGACCGATGCCATCGAAGGGCTCGAGGTGGAGGCGCGAGGATTAGCGTGGGGGAGCCGGGCCCCGAGGCGAACGGGTCCTGGGCCCGGGGGGCTCTTCTCCAGGATGAGATCTTCATCCTGAGTCGTCCTCTGACAGCAACTGCCGGGGCCCGTGGAGGGCCCCGAGAGCCCGAACACGGCGACACGCCTCGGGACCCGTTGCCCGTGGGACTCGCTGCCCCCGTGGCGCGAGGAGCGCGGCGGGTGGCGGGTGCGCGCGCGCGTCCGCGAGCACGTCGGGCGCGTCGGCGGCCGCGTCGCGCACGGCGGCCGCTGCGCGGGCGAGCGTGCCGCCGCCGGCCGCGGCGCTCTCCTGGACGCCCAAGGGACCGGGCGCACGCCAACGTGGATCAGTGATCCGTGCATCTGGTGCGTGGGCGTCAGATCTGTGGATCGGGGAAGGTAAGTTTCGAGGGCGTGAAGTCCACTCCGAGAATAACCTCCCCGACACGCGAAGCCGTTTAGTAAACGAACCCAGAGAAGGGATCAAGTAGGGCAGGTTTTTTTTTATATAAACGCCCACGGCCGTCTACGAAACGCCAATTGTCCGGTCCGGGTGGTTTTTCGTCCCTTGAAAGCTACCCGCGGCACGTGAGGCCGGTGCCGCCCCGTCGTGGCGACAGCGCGCGCCGACTTTTCGAGTGGGAGCGGGGCCCGCCGCAGAGCCACGGGCCTTCAGCCGCGCTGGGGTTGCCTCGAAGGGGGCTGGGCGCTCGGGCCGTCCCCGTCCTCTCGTGGTCCGGGGCTGGGCCTAGGAACCGGCGACGGCAGAAACATCACGCCTCGGGGCTCCGCGCAGGCCATGCGGACCGGGGCTGGGCCCCCCTGGTGTTGCCACCAGCGGCGCCCCTGGCGCGCTCCGCGCGCCACGGGGGGGGGGATCCAGCCCCGATCCAAGAGGTCCGATACATTCTGTCCATGCAGCTTCTGGTTTCTTCTTACCCCCGTCGGCGCAATGTCGGCTCCCTCCTCCTCCCCTTCGGTATCACACAGCCCGAACCCTCCCCTCCCCCGTCCTCTCCTCAGGGGAAGGCTAAGGTCGGCTATACGCAAGAGTGACCCTGGGTAAGAGTGACCTTTGGTGCGCGGCTTTTTGGGGGCCGCGGGGGAACCAAATCTGGGCGCGCAACCAGCTGCGACTGCTTCGCTTTCAGCCATTTGGGGACCCACCTCTGTCCGCACCAAAGGTCACTCCTGTGGAAGGTCACTCTTGCGTCTAGTCGAGAAGGGGGTCAGACTCAGGGGGGGCGGGCCTCCCTCCCCCGCCACCTCGACGTAGCTGGTTTCCCTGGCGCCTCCCGGCGCCGGGAGGCGCCCATGTATCGAGGAATGGGCCCGGCGGGGGGCCGAAACCAGTTGCATGCAGCAGATCGCGAGGCCAATGTTTATACACCACCACCGCCCGCAACAGTAATTTACCACAAAATGGGTTAGGGACACGGTCATGCCAGACGGCGCTGCGACGCCACGGCGAAAAGAAGCGCGGCGCAGCTCGCAGGCGCCGTGGCATGGGGAGTTCTTGAAGCAGAAACAGCACTTCTTGGTGGTGGTGTATAAGAATCGCCCCTCTTGGTCACCAAAACTTTGAACACCACCACCACGCGTGCTTTGATGAATTCCGTTTCGGCCCTTAAGAGAGAGGGGGCAGCCCGGTTGCCGTTGGCGGCGGGAGGGGGGCTGCGGGCTTTTCCCCAGAGCGACACTGCACCAAATCGCATCGTAGATTCTTATCGATCTTGGTGGTGGCAGTCATATACTGTGCTCGAGCAGATTTCGTGCCCCCCCTTTTCCCTATCCCTCCCGTTCGTTCGGCCCGACCCTCCCACGCCGCCTCGACGTCTCAGAGCTCCGAGGCACGCACAACGGCAGGACGGACCCTGCTCGCCCTCTGCGGCTGGAGCCGGCCCGGCCTTCTGTCAGCGATGGGCCCCCCGACCGCCCTGGGCGGGGTGGGCTGTCCGGCCGCCAGCGGCGGTCAGTGGGCGATTTGGGACCGATGCGTTCCCCTCCGCCCCTCGATCCCCCCCGATGCCTCCCCTCTGCCTCGATCCCTCCTCCGTCCCCCCCCGATCCCTCCCGAAGAAGGCCCAGGGGCACCCCCGCGTTCCGCCTCTAAGTGTACGTTTGAAACCCTCCCTCCTCGATGCGTCCCCCTCGATGCGTACTCCCCCCCCCCCCCCTCGATTTGGACACCCGACATGGGTACGGAAAGAATGGGCACAATGCCCAACAACACATGTTGCCCCAAACCAACAACGTCCGCTGTTGGGCAGGCGGCCTTCTGTCTGAAGTGGACACAGGCCCCAGCGACACCGCCAGCGAGTCCTGTTCAGCATGAACGGGAACTGCTGCTGGGCATCGTACCCATTCTCTCCGTACCCGTTTCGCTCGCGCCCCCTCGATCCCTCCTCTCCGCTGCCCTGCTCCAGATCCGGGCGCCCCTCGCCGACGCGTTCCGGCGGTCCCCCCGGGGGGGGGGGGAAAGGGGTGGCCGGGGAGCGGCAGAGCCCGCAGGCTGCATGCCCAAGGGGCCCAGGCTGCCAACGGTTGCGCCCCGCGCCCCGCGATGCGCGACGCGCGGGGGGGGGGGGGATCGGGAGGAAGACGAGACGTAGGAGGAGGGGCAGGGGGTAAGGAGGAGGAGGCGGAGGAGGAGGAGGAGGCGAAGGAGGAGGGAGAGGAGGAGGAGGGTAAGGAGGCGGAGGCGGAGGCGGAGGAGGAGGAGGAGGAGGAGGAGGCGGAGGAGGAGGACGAGGAGGACGAGGACGAGGAGGAGAAGGAGGAGAAAGGCACCTCTCCAACCCGAGCCGCGACGCGAGAACCGCCATCGTCTTCGCGCCCTTGGTGGACAGAGCCCCCTTTAGCAAAACGCCCATTCGTGCACTCCACGTGCGCACGACACCGCATTCTGAGTGCATCCCCACGGGGGCAAGTATCGGGGATGGACAGACCTCCCTTTAGTAAAACGTGGTTTAGTGAAAACGACCTGAGGCCCAAACCTGGCGGGCGAAAGCCTGGAGAATAACGGCCACGGCGCCCTCTCGAGAACCGAAAACGGACAATTCACTAATCGACGTGTCACTATTGGGGGTTCTGTCCTCCCCCGAAAGTAGTCGCCGTGCGAAACAAACGAACGCATACGCCGAACACACACGTCGACTGCTGAACCCCCCCCGGTACGTGGACAGCACCGGCATACAGCCATCGGCCCGACCTAAGGAACGATAAATAAGGAACGAAGCCCCTTTTTTATCCCACGGAATAACGCACAAGGAGCGATAAATAACAAATGACGCATACGAAATTGGAAATAACGCATGCAAGCCCAAGGAACGACCGAGCCCCTTTTGAAAAATAAGTGTTCCTTGTTCAAGCCGCTCACTGTATACTCGAATTTTTATGTCGAGTGGACCCGTGCAGATTCCTCAGTCGACTTGCCTGGGGGGGCGTTCTGCCACTGCCCCATCGTCGACTGCATGCAAGAGCGGCCCTGCGCAAGAGTGACCCTGGGTAAGAGTGGCCTTCGGTGCGCGGCTTGCTGGGGGCCGCGAGGCCCAACCCGAGCGCGCAAGACGTCACTGTCGCATCGCACTCGGCGACCGGGGGACCCCAATGGGCCCGCACCGACGGTCACTCCGGCGGAAGGTCACTCTTATCGGGTCGGGCGAAAGGGGGGATAGCAAAGGGGGGCTTTGAGAATCAGCTCACGTAGCTGATTTTCCCGGCGCCTCCCGGCGCCAGAGACGCCCATGTATCGAGGAATGGGCCCCTCGGTGGGGCCGAAACCAGCTGCATGCAACTAATTTCGTAACCCCCCCTTTCCCAATCCCCCCCTTTCGCCCGGCCCGATCTTACGCGCAGTTGAAACAGCGACCATGCGCACGGGTGGCCCTTTTGCGAGGCGCGCCGGTCGCTGGCGTGCGGTGCGACGGCGGTCTGCGCGCCCGAGCTGCGCCGCGCCCTGGCCGCCCCCCCCCTCCCCCCGCCGCGTTCCCCGAGTGCCGCGCACGAGGTCACTCTGGCGAGGAGTCACCCTCTGCGCGAAGCACAGACTTGCCATCGCTGGGACGTTTTTTCCCCGTGTACATGTTGCTCGATGTCGTGCGCTTTTTTATTTTAGGAAAATGCAAGATGATCCAGGATGCTCCTCGAGGGTCCGCGCCGAGAACAAATGCACATGCCCGAGCGGTGCCAAGGAGATCGGACAGGGCGCCGGGCAGGATCTGGGATGGGACCGCGGCCGAGGATCGAGGATCGAGGCGGCGGGCAGGATCGAGGATCGAAGGCGGGATGGGATCGAGGATCGAGGATCGAGGAGAGGACGAGGAGGGCGAGGGTCGAGGCGAGGGGAGCGAGGAGGGGCACGCGTGTTCCAGATCTCGTGCCCGCACGATGGCGGCGCCCTTGCTCTCCCCGCCCACCTTTGCGACGTCTTCTGAGGCACCGCGTTCACTTTGAGCCTGCAGGGCAGAAAGAATGAGGCGTGGACACCGTAAACGTATGTCGGGCGTGTCCCGTGTACAGGTGGATTTCGGACGAACAATGAGAAAAGCCATAGTCTATACATACACCCAAAATATCCAAAAATGGAATGTAAAGTAAGCGTCCCCAGGTTATTGTTTGTCTATTTTTGAATATTCCCCCTGGAGAGGGGCAGGCCCGACTTAACACTAAACGCATCGTGCCACTTGAAGGGCGGGAGAGAACGTAGCATGAAAGACGACGTCGACGCAGACCCCACGGCGGCCTCGGAGCCCCCTTGGATCCTGGAGCAGGGGCCGACAGCACCACAAACTCTCGATCCTCCCCAAGGGGGGGCCTGGGGCACACGCCTCCTGTCGTTTCTCCTCCTCGTCGCCGTCCTCCTCCTCCTCCTCCTCTTCCTCCTCCTCCTCGTCTCTCATCCTCGTCTCTCCTCCTCCGCCTCCTCCGCCCCCGCCTCCTGTCGGCTCTCCTCCTCTTCCTCCTCCTCCTCCTCCTCCTCTTCCTCCTCCTCCTCCTCCTCCTCCTCCTCCTCCTCCTCCTCCTCCCGTCTGCACTGCGCCGCGACCCTGCGCGCGTCCGCCGCCTGGCGGCGGCCAAGGCGGCCAGGAGCGGCAGTCGCAGGCTTGTCTTCCGCTCGGTAAGGGTCCGGGGCGGCGGCCCGCGGGCACGAGGGGAGGGGCCGAGAGTGCTTCTCCAGAAGAAGAAGAAGACAAACAAATAACAATAATAATGATCATACTGATCATAGGATAAAAAGACGAATGCTGAGAAAAAGAAGACGAATCAGAAGAAACGTAATAATAATAATGATAATTATAATTATAATAATCATCATCATAATAATAGTAACAATAACAATGATAATAATACTACTAATAATGATAAGCAGCATCAGCATTTTGTTTGGTGCTCAGCGCGGAATTTTTGGATCTGGTCTGGACACTCCTCCCTGGCGCGCGGAGCGCGCCATGGACGGCGCCGGAGTCGCCGCCAGGGGTACCCAGCGCGGATCCAAGAAATCCGCGCGGAGCGCTGAAAGATTATGCTTATGCCGTTTTTTCTTCTCCGATCCTCACAGGAGTTTGATGAGGATGCCTGCCCAGCTTGGGCGTCTCGCGATCATCAACCCGACGACGACGCCGGCGGCGGCTGTCCTTGAGGCACCGCAGCGCCGCCACGAGGAACGCGCACCGGGCCGCCAGCCGGTCGCACATGGGCGGCAGCCACCCCAGGCACTCATCTGCAGGGGCGCGAGGTCGTCATCGTCGTCGTCTTCTAGAGGGGCCCAGGGACACACAAACAAATGGACACAAATCCGAGGATTCCCCATGTGTGTTCTTCATAGTTTCTGGATTGTCGTCTTCTCCCCCGTCTCCCATATTTGCTGGTGCTTGGGAATCGACAGCTGCTTGTGTCTGCGCGTTTTTGCTGTCCCTCCTGCTCTTCGTCGGGGTCGCCCGGATCGTCGGGTCGTGGGCCTCGGGGCGCTCTCCTTCCCTCTTCTCTGGGCCCGGGCCTCCGGAGGCCACGGAGCCCCCCCGGGGACCCCTGCGGGTGGGGCGGACGGAGGAGGACGAGCCCTGGCGTCCGCTGGCACTGATGTTCAGTCTGAGGCCACAGATACACAGATAGCAGAGCTTCCATCCTCATAATAATCTTCATCACCCCGACGCGCTCAGCCGTTCAGTCAACGCACCCAGAGAAAGAATCGAACAGGGCAGGGCAGGGCTGTTCAGCAAACGCCCAAGGCCGTTGAGCAAACGCCAATTATTGGGTCCGGGTGGTTCTTCCCCCCCTTAATGCAATCGGACCTAGGTCAGGATATCATCCTTCAAGAACATGAGAACCTCCGCTGGCCCAAACCGAAGAACAACCGAGGGTAGCCTCCCCCAGGATGCACAAGAACACTCAACAGACACAACGAACAAGTACTCCGAGTTTCTTAATAATCGTCGGGGGGGCGTCACCCCCGCCGACAGCCCTACATCGACCCCCGTCGCGGGCAGCCGCCGCGCGCCGAAGGCGCTCCGACCCCCGCCGCGGCGAGAGGATGAGGCGAGGTTGACCCTCGTCGGGGTCCCCCCCCCACGCTTTTTAGGAAACCCAGAGCGGGGTACTCTCCACGAAACGCCCTCGCTCTTCTACCTCGGTCTGCAGCAACAGAGGGTATGTCGACCCCTATCCCCAGACTTCGTGGGGCTTCCGAACGGGCCAGCAGTTTGGGGCCCGACCCTGGGAGATACGATGGAACGGGGCGCTCGTCCTTGATAGGGGTGCGTCCGAGTAGCCCCCCTTGGGGTGCCCTGCCCTGTCTGGGCGGCTTCGTGTACCGTCGGAACTTTAGGGGCTTTGGGGGGGGGGGGAACGTCGCCCGCGATCAGAGGTCCCGACCCCTTCCCCGTGCGTGCTTCTTCGTCGGGGGTGCACTTGTGATTGTCCCTGGGGCACGAAGCCGGCCCCCGCAGACCCGAACGAAGAACACGTTTCGCCGCGCCGCCTGTTCTCAACGCGCCCAAGTGGCCGACGCCGCCACCACGGCAAAACCGCGGCAAGCCCTGCGCCCCGCGCCCAAGCAGACGACGCCGGCACCCACGGCAAATCCACGGCAAGCGCGCGCCAGGCGGAGCAGGCCCTGGTGGCCGAGGCGCCCTCTCCAGGACGTCCGGCCACGCGTCGGAGCATACGGCGCGGCGACGCATAGCGTCGGAGATCTGGGGAGGAGGGGGAGGATGGCAACCATTCTTCACGGAGGCTGCCCGCTGCCGCTCGTAAGTGGTCGGTGCCGCCTGCAAACATCGCTCCCGTTGGCCGAAGCGCTTCCGGAGTTCCGACGCCGTGATTGTTTCATTGCGCGGTCCCCAAAAGTCTCGACCCCTTCCCCAGGACCAGTTCTTCATCCTGAGCCGTTTGCTGACGGTCCTGGGGCCCGGAGAGGGCCCCTGGAGGCCGAAAATTAGGAAACAACGCCCGTCTTGCTTCTTTCAATGCGCTGGATCTCTGGGCTAGAAACGCGAGGAGGGCCGCCTGCGAGCATGTCGGCGAAGGTTCCAACCGCGGCGCGGCCCTCCAGCAGCCAGTACGCGCAGGCCCCCGCCAGCCTCGACGCCTCGAGGGCCTCCTGGAGGAGCGGCTCGAACTCCTCCACCTGGGGAGGCGCGCGCAACGTGCTGTTCCCTCCTGACTGCAGTCGGGATTGATTGGAGACGACACGCGAGAGGACACAAGACCCTTCCGAGGGCCACATTGCCATAGGAGTGTAAGAAGACGTGGGCCGCGAAGCTCAGGACACAAGGGCATTTTGATTGGGCAGGGTCGACCTACTAATCCGGGCCGACTGTACCTACCAGGCCATCCCAACCCAACCCGAAGACCCGAATGTGACCCGAAATTCGTTTTTTTTTGGGGGGGTACTGGTTCCATGTGTTTTTGCCCTGTTCCCCGACCCCCCCCCCCTCACTGGGAATGGGGGGCAAATGGAAATCTTCGGGTCGGGTTGGGGTGGTTTGGTGGGTGGTGACCCCCCGACTCGCCGAACAGCCCAGACATCCGACGCTTGCTATTTTTGTTCCGGTCGCGGCAACCCCGCGCGCCTCGTGCAGCCGCGGGCAGCGGGTGGGCAGATCTCACCGTGGGAGATAGCACGGTGGCCTCCTGAGAGGTTTCGGCGGCCGTCGGCGGCGCCTTCGTCGTCGGCTGTCGTGTCGTGTCTCGGTCGTCGTCGTCGTCGTCGTCGTCGTCGTCGTCGTCGTCGTCGTCGTCGTGGTCGTCGTCGTCGTCGTCGTCGTCGTCGTCGTCGTCGTCGTCGTCGTTGTCATCGTCGTTGTCGCCGTCGTTGCGGTGGTGGACGTCGTCGTCCGAGGAGGTTTTCCCCGAGCAAGTCTTGACGGCCCCTGGATATCGGCATGCGGCTCATCCCGAGGCCGAGGGCGGCGAAGAGACCTGTGCCTCGGTGCCTTCGAAGTGGTGGAGGTCTTAGTCCTCCTCTGGGCATCGTCTGGCCGGTCTCCATCCCCACTGGCATGGCTGTGACCCCACTGCCCGACTTGCCCCCCTGGCGGGGACATATGCTGTTCCCCCGAGGCCTCGCGGGGCCTATCCTCACCTGGGGTGCTTGGGCCGGTGGTGCTGAGACTCCACTTGCTCTCAATGGGAATGGGGATCGGTCAGATGATGCTGCGGGGTGGTGGTGCAGGCTCAGCCGTCATAGAGTCCGGAAATCGGATCGAATCGGAAGGAGCGTCGACTCGGATCGCTGGAAAATCCGCCGACCCAGTCGGCGGGTGTGAGACGCTGTTGCCGTCTTCGACGTCGTCGTCGCCAGTCTCATGGAATCGAACAACGAACAAAGACGAGGAAACTCGCAAAAGGAACGTCGTCGTTAACTCGATTCCCCCCTGCGGAGAAGGGGGACCAGGGGGGGGCCTCCCCGTCGGCAGGGGAGGGACCCCTCCCCCCGCCTCGGCCACGGCTCTGGCCCTGGAACGCAGTCCCGGCCCTGGCCCCCGGTTCGCCAGCGCCTGTCGCTGCTGAGCGAGATGCGGGTGGTGACGCTGGAGCCTGCCATCAGGAGCTGCAGCGCCCCGACCAGCGTGCGCGAGAAGGGCGAGCCCTGACAGCGGACACCCTGGCGCTACTGAGCAAGATACGAGTGGTGAAGCTGGGGCCCGCCATCGTGAACTACAGCATCCCCATCAACGTGCGCGAGAAGGGCGAGCCCAGGCAACCGACCCTGTCGCTGCTCAGCGAGATGTGGGTGGTCAAGCTGGAGCACCCCCTACGGCTGCAGCGCCCAGCATCACGAGCTACGCTACTCAGCAAGACACGATCGCTGATGACGACTCGGCCTGGGGCGACTGGGGCAGCTTCTCTGATGACGAGGACGTGCGCGAAGCCACTGGCACAGCCGCTGCTCAGCGAGGCGCGGACGGCGACGCTGAAGCCCACCTTTAGCAGCATCCAACCTAGGACCAGCGCATGCGAAAAGGGCGAGCTGTGGCAGCTAATTAGCCCCGTCGCTGCTAAACGACATACGGGCCAAGCAAACCGACCTGGCGGTGTATGACTTCCGCGCGCTCTGGCCCGAGACTCGCGCCGCAACAATGGCCTGTGCTACTGCTGCGGCGGCCGCTTCACCATCGCCGGCATAAGACGTGGCGCGGGGTGCAGTATTGGCGCACTTGGTTCACAGCGTTGTGGTCGCCAGCCGGCCGCACTCGTGGCGCGGCCTCGTAGTCTGTGCCTGGTGCCAGTACGACCGACCAGCAGCTGACGCTGACGCCCAACATCCAAATCGGCGACTCTTGCGGCTCCGCTGGGGCGGTTCTTCGGGCCGTTATGCGCAGGAGCGGCTTGGCGTGCGGATCCAGTGCGCGGATCGTGCCGTTGCCAGGCGCGGTCGGGGGCCCTGCGCTTGGGGCGACGTGATGTGTCCGTCCCGGGGTCGAGGTCGACTTCTTGCTCGCGGCGAATCCCTGCATTCCTTCGTCCAGCGCGAATCGGGCTGCCCCGTCGAGCTGCCAGAACTGGACACGACCGGCACAGCTGCGGTTTACGGCGCGGCCGAGCAGATGGATAAGGTCCGCGCACCACCAAGGGATGCCACCGCTGAAGGCGACCTAGACACAGCCAGAGCCGCGATGGCGATGGCCGAAGCCCGTGGCTCTTCTTTCGGCACGCCCCCGCTCGAGCCTCGGGTGGATCCTGGCCCGACCACTTGCACGACCCGCACGACGACTGCGACGAGCAGCGCTGGCAGCCGGCCCTGTCCCTGCGCAGCGACATGGGGCGTGGCGCCGCTGGGGTGCCACGCCGGCGCGCGCGCCACGGGGTCGAGCCCTGGCGCCTGGCCCCGACGCTGATCCGCGCGAGGTCGGGGGCGGCCCTCGTGCCCGCCAGCGCGAGCTGTACCAGCCCGGCCAGCGCGTGCGAGACGCGTGCGAGCCCCGGCAACCGATCCGGTCGCTGCTCAGCGAGGAATGGGCGATGAAGCTGGAGCTCAAACTGCACTCACAGGGCCCGCCACCACGAGCTGCGCCACTGAGCGAGGCGCGATCGCTGATGACGACGCGGCCTGGGGCGACTGGGGCGGCTTCTCTGATGACGAGAACCTGTGAACAAAAAACAAGTGGCACTGCCGCTGCTCACCGAGACGTGGGCGGCGGCGCTGAATCCCACCTTTATCATCAGCCACCCTGAGACCAGCGCTTGCGAAAAGGGCGCGCTGTGGCAGCTACCCCGTGGCTGCTCAACGACGTGTGGTTTGTGAAGCTGGAGCCCACCCTCATGAGCCACAGCATCCCCATCAGCGCGTGCGAAAAGGGCGGGTAGTGGCAACCAACTCCGATGCTGCTCAGCGAGATATAGTTGATGAAGCTGGAGCCCGCCATCATGAACTAACAAACACCCAGATCAGCGGGTGCGAAAAGTGCGAGCCTTGAAAGCTTGCCCCCACGCTGCTCACAGAGATGTTGGTAGTGAAGCTGCTGTGGCGCCGCGCGTGCGTGAAAGGCACCGTTGAGGAATGTTGTTCAAGAGTGTGGCTTACGAATGTCGTTGAAGACTGTGGAATAACAAGTGGATGAAGGAGGTGGCGGGTGTAGAGCCTAAAGTGGCGCGTGGACGTCTTGACGTCTTATTCCCCACATGCTTAGTGGGGTTCTGGTTTTCTTGCTTCCCGCGTCGCACCCGCGACTCATCCTCAACCCTCCTATTCCTTTTCCTTCTCACACAGCACAGCACAGGACAGCACAGCACAGCTCAGCACAGCGCACAGCACATTGACTCACAGCACGTACACAGCACAGCACAGCACTGCTTAGCACAGCTCAGCTCAGCTCAGCTCAGCCCAGCACAGCACAGACCAGCTCAGCACAGCACAGCACAGCACAGCACAGCTCAGCTCAGCTCAGCACTACACAGCACAGCACAGCACTACACAGCACAGCACACACACAAGCAAGCAAACACATGACACGCACACTATGCAACACATGCGCGCCAACAGGAGGTGCGCAGGGTGTGGTCCCTGAGAGCGGTCTCCATACGCGCCACTGTCGCAGGGCCTAGCAGGCGTGGCACTTTCTCGACACCGGAGGGGGTGCGCAGGGGGTGGTCCTTCAGCGCGGTCTCTATACGCGCCAGTGTTGCAAGGCCTAGCAGGCGTACCACTTTCTCGACACCAGAGGGTGTGCGCAAGGGGTGGTCCCCCACCGCGGTCTCTATACGCGCCAATGTCGCGGGGCATAACAGGGCTGGCAATTTGTCGACACCAAAGGGGGTGCGCAGGGTGTGGTCCCTCACCCCAGTGTCTATACGCGCCAATGCCGCAGGGCCTAGCACGCGTGGCACTTTCTCGACACCGGACGGGGTGCGCAGGGGGTGGTCCCTTACGCCGGTGTCTATACGCGCCAATGTCGCAGGGCCTAGCAGGCGTGGCGCTCTCTCGACAGCAAAAGGGGTGCGCAGGGGGTTGTCCCTCAACGCGGCCGCTATCCGTCACGGCCGTCCAAAGCATAGCAGGCGTGGCATATTCTCGATACCGTAATGGGGGTGCGCAGAGCGCGGCCGCTATCCGTCACTGTCGCCCAGGGCCTAGCAGGCGTGGCATATTCTCGACACCTCAGGGGGTGCGCAGCGGGTGGTCCCTTGGCGCGGTGTGGACCCTTTGGCGTTGTAGTCGTCTCTGTTGGCGCGGCATGTCAGGCCCCCAAGGGTTGAACCGCGCCGCCTTCGATGTCGGCGAAGCAACGGCCACGAGCAACATGCTCGCACGTTCCACGTCAGCTGCCGTCACGCAAGACACATGCGAAGTATATGGGTTCCTCAGTCGCGTAATTCTCTTATTTCCCCAACGCAGCAATCATGGACAAAAAGGGCAGGGAGGGCAGACGATAGGATGCGAACCATCGAGGAGCAATGCCCCACACTTCTCACTCGGTGCAGTCTGCGACTACTGGCGACATTCGCGCGAGCCGAAATACCACATGCGGAACAAACTGGCTGTAATAGCAGATTCCGGCACCCGTCGTGTCGATGCCTTAGCGCGATCGCGTCTACAATGTGACCTCGCGCCTGCGTAGCCCATACTGGCTCAAACTGGTGGGACGTGCACTGGCGCCAAACGCAAGTGGGGGGATGACGAACGAA